CTCGAGGATATGTTGCGAGCCTTTGTGATTGATTTCGGTGGGAGTTAGGACTCCTACCCCTAGCTGAGTTTTCTTAAAACAACAACTATCACTCTAGCATTGGTGCACTTCCATTCGAGCTTTTCTATGGGAGGAAGTGTCGTACCCCAGTTTTTTGGGAATAGATGAGTCATAGAGTCATGGGAAGGACCGAAGCAGTCCTTCAGACATCAGAGCTCATTCATCAGATTAGGCAGAGACTTCAGACAACTCGGAGTCGGCAGAAAAGTTATGCCGACAAGCGTCGATCCGAGTTGGAGTTCCAGGTCGGCGACATGGTTTTGTTGAAGGTATCACCCTGGAAGGGTGTAATATGCTTCTGGAAGAGGGGCAAGTTGGGGCCTTAGTATAGTGGGCCATTTCAGGTGATTGTTAGGGTTGGCAGGGTGGCATACAGATTTGATTTTCCTAACGAGCTCAGTCAGATCCACAACACCATCCATGTATCGCAGCTCCGGAAGTGTGTGGCTGATGATTCAACGGTTGTTCCCTTGGAGGATATTCAGGGTGATGACCGCCTGAATTATGTTGAGAGGCATGTGCCAATTTTGGATTAGAAGATGAAGGCCTTGCGCAACAAGGTGGTGTCTTTGGTCAAGGTCCAGTGGCAGCATCGGAAGGGATCCGAGTGAACATGGGAACCCGAGTCTGTGATGCGGGAGCATTATCCTGATTTGTTCATAACCACTAACTTAGAGGACGAAGTCTAGTTCAAGTCGAGGAGAATTGTAACATCCTGACGTTGAGGTATTTCCAAATTTTAACCCTTAGTATGAAGATTATTGCATTTTAGCCCTTGTGTTTGAGAAATGTTGCAAAATGGCCCACAGTGGCATTTTTGTAAATAATGGACGTAGGGCACGTATGTTGGGCGTACTCATATTTTATGCTCGGCGTACGTGGAAGGATCCCAAACTCTATTTTTTAGGATTTTGACCCTATTTAAACACCTTTATGGCCTATAGGACTTTTCTCTCATCTGCCTCCATCACTCCATTCGACCTTAGCAAACCCTAGTTCATTGTTTGAGCATTCTTGACCTTTGGTGTGCATTTTGGTGACCTTGAAGGAGAAGGAAGGAAGTTGAATCACCTTGTAAGCTTGAATAAACTTTGGATCTGGAATCCTCATCTATCTAGCAACCTCCAGGAGGTATAAAGTTCTGAACTTGGCATGCATTTCTTTAGATCTTGTTATCTCTTGAGTCTTGAAGCATTTTGGTCCCAAACCTTGACATTTATGAATACGTCATACTCTAGCCCGTATAAGTTGTCCTTCCAGATGTTTTTAGATGTCTTAATGCATAAAAATATGATCTTGGTTCTTATTTCTTCCCCATGGATGTGCGAGGATGTCCTAATGGTTTAAGGAGTTAGGGATTGTTAATATTAACCACCTCTAGCCATGCAAAGTCATAAAGTTGGATACTTTATGACTTATAATGATATTTTGGGCTTAGATATGGATTTAGATGTAAGGACTTGATGGGTTAAGCTCTTAATAAGAATTTGAGGTGGCCAGGTGCATACGCTAGACATACCAAATGTTACGTTATGCATACGCGATCAATACCCCGATTTCTTGGTCAAGCTGAGTACGCCCCGCGTATAGCTGAGTACATCCATCGTACTCAGCTGAGTTGAGTCAGCTGTTTTGTTGGCTTTTGACATTGACCAGGGTTTGACCAATTTTGACCAAAGAGTATTTTGGGTATTTATATACTAAGTTAAATTAGGCCATGGTGTAATTAATAGGTGACGAGTAGAGCTGGTATTTGGAGCAGAGATTTATTCAGCTATCGTTCGGACTGTGAGGCGAGTTTTCCTCACTGTACTCATGGGTAGAATGCACCAAGGTTGGCCCAATGGATTGGTATCCTGATACACATTAATTGATTATATGTTGAGTATGTGGTAGATCTGCATGATCATATGATAGTTGTTGATATGCATTAGACTGGTAGATCTGTAGGATTACCTGTGATTTCTAGCTGTATAATTATTTGTCTATTGAATATGTTTGTTATCTGTTATATGTCGACATGTTATGTTGGGGTTGAGGCTTTATTGCTTTGTGTGTAAGCCAACAGACCGGGGGTATTCCAGTCCGATGACTAAGTGGACCCGTGGGTATTCCAGTCCGATAACTAAGTGGACCCGTTTTATATTGGCATTCCAGTCCGATGACTGATTGGGCCAGGGTATTCCAGTCCGATGACTGATTGGACCCAACATGCAATGTTATATATGTTATGTTGTGTGGTGGTACTTTAGGGGAACTCACTAAGCTTTGGCTTACAGTTTCAGTCTATTGTTTCAGGTACTTCAGATGATCGCGGGAAAGCGAAGGCGTGATCATGCACATCCTTCTGTTTTTATGATATAAGGTCTTGGGAAAACTCTGATTATGATTGTACTTGTGAAACAATGATTTTTAAACACTTTATGATTAAAATGGGTTGTTTTTGAAAATTTTTAAATTTCTATGATTTTTGGGATGTTACAAATCATAGTCTTACCATCACTTCCTTCCATGGGCCAAATCATTGTCTTTACTTCTACAAGTGCCAAGGGCCAAATCCTGGTCTTCCATACAATTGTCAGGGCCAAACCCTAGTCTTTCATGCATATGCTAGGGGCCAAACCCTAGTCTTTCATACAAATTCCAGGGGCCAAACCCTGGTCTTCGATGCAAGAGTCACAAAGACAACTAGCATCCTACATAATATAGTGAAAAGACTCACTTGAACTACTTAACACCAACTCAACAACCACCTCAATAACAACACCGCTAACCAGAGCTACCTAATGCCAAACCAAAATCATTCCTTAGCCATATACTCAAATTTACCCAAGTTTGACCAAAAGTCAAACTAATCAAAGTCAACTCAGCAGGTGACCACGCCATGGCCAACTGCTGGCCACGTCGTGGCTGCCAAACGACAAAACGGTCGTGAAGAGTCCTACCACCACGTCATGGGCCTTCCTTGGGGACGTCGTGGTTTCAGTCTGAAAGACTTTTCTTTATGAAGAGCTTAATCCATAAAGACCAAGGCTCATAACATCATATGTGAGAACTAATAACTTCATAATGGATAAAGTTTCAATCTTTATCCATTTGGATGGTTCAAGCAACCAAGATCTAGACTTTAAGTCTCAAATGGACCAAAAATGCATCATTCTCATCTTAATCCATTAAGTTCAAGTCTCTAACCTTCATTAAGGGCTTAATCCATAAAGACCAAGGCTCATAACACCATATGTGACAACTAATAACTTCATAATGCATAAAGTTTCAAACTTTATCCATTAGGATGGTCCAAGCAACCAAGATCTAGACTTTAAGTCTCAAAGGGACCAAAAATGCATCATTCTCAACTTAATCCATTAAGTCCAAGTCTTCAACCTTCATATCTGAATCAACATGATGTTTATATGAATAAAGTTTCCAACTTTATCCATAATAACGCCACAAACTTTCAAGATCTAAACTTTAATATACCAAAATTACCTAAATGACCAAGATAACTTGCATGGCTTAAAGGGAAGGCAAAATATCATAACTTTCCTAGTCCATGAGGTCCAAGTAACATTTCCCACTGATCAAAAGATGTTAGAGTCCACTTAACTCCAAAATCACCCGTTAAATGGACCAAAAATGCCAAAAACCACAAATGACAAGATCTAAATGCCCAAAAATGTGGAACCATTCCTTTAAATACATTGGAAACCCTAAAAATCATGGACTTGGGCTGCCTAGCGGCCACTCCGTGGAAATATGCTCTCCACTCCGTGGTCATCACCACGTCGTAGAGATCTGCTCTCAGTGGCGACGGGTTTTCACCCTAATCCATTCCAACTTCAAACAATTATAACGTCATCGTTTCAACTCCGTTTTCGGCGATCTTTATATGCACGCAAAAGTATTGACAAACCTCACCATTCTATCTAATTACTTTTAACTTAAAATATACCGAACTAAAATTCATTAATTCGAGCAAGAAGTCTGAAATATCACTTTCCCATTTTACCCTTTGGCTTCAAAGCACAAGTCAAGAGCTTAGATATCTTAACCAACATTATCACCATCCAATAAGGTCTAAAATTTATTCCCTTAAAACCCAACACTTTTGGATGATCGAATTACGGCTCAAATTCCTGAAATAAGAAACATCTTGTTAAACTGTATTCCAGTTAAAGGTGAATTTTGGAAACCATGTGAATTTTGGAAACCAAAATCAAGTAAGGGTAGGGATATCCCGAATTGACTTTTATTTTTAGTTTTTTAATTGTTTAAGTTTTGACGTTTAAAACAATTAATATTAGTTTAATAATAATAGTGGATGATAATTATATATTTAATGTATTAATATTTAATATTCAAGTGGATTGGTTTGGTTCGGTTATCTATTCGATTTTTAGGATGAAAATCAATCAAATCCAATTGGATTTTTAAATTTCACAAGTGATCCAATCTAATTTCTATTCGATATCCAATATAATCACTAGGTTTGGATTAAATCCATTATACATACCCCTCTAAATATATCTAAATATAACGTTGAGATGACATATATGTGAAAAAAAAATGATGTATTAACACAATCTTTTCTCCTATTCAGCTATTCGTGAATAGAAAAAAACATATACTTAACGTCTTAACGATAATGGATGGTTAGTTTATAGTTAAGATGGTTAGTGTACTTGGATGTGTTGGGTTCGAATTCGAACTTCCAAGAAAGAGTAGTACAAAAGCGAAAAGAATCAATCGATAGTACCCATTGTAGTACACACCACGACACACAATTATATTCATTCTCCGGTGTACTACTGTTTCCTTTTTTAATAACTAAACGCAACCTTTCTCTTTCTTATCTCCCTCTCTCTTTTCTCACACGCAAACAACCACCAACCAACCGTTCATCTCCGATCTCCGTCGCCGGCACCGAAGACGACGCAACCATGATGCACATGACCTTCTACTGGGGCACCAGCGTCACTCTGCTATTCGATTCATGGAAGACGGACTCATTGTTCAGTTACTCCCTCACCTTAATCGCTTGCCTCCTTTTCTCCGTCTTCTACCAATACATGGAAGATCGCCGTCTCCGATTCAAGCTCCTCTCTTCCTCCGCCGTTAGCAACAACACCGATGGAGCTGTGGACGCCACTCCTCTCCTTAAAACCAAGATATTCGCCCGCGGTGGCCGGTGGAGTCTAGGGAGGTTTACCGGATCCGTACTCTTCGGGATTAACTCCGCGCTTGGTTACTTCCTTATGCTCGCGATCATGTCGTTCAACGGCGGTGTGTTTGTCGCCATCGTTGTCGGACTTGCTATCGGGTATTTGTTGTTTAGGAGCGGCGATGATGAGCAAGTCGTGGTTGTTGATAATCCATGCGCGTGTGCTTGACATTTGATCTTCAATTTCGTATTTCATTTCTCTATTGATCGATCTAATTAATACACGAAATTGGGGTTGATGCTCTGTATTCTGCATCCTATAGGTTCGAAACAAAACCCTACATATACGCAAGTTTGTATTTATATGTCTTTTCTGTATTATTATCATCATCTTCATCTTTGAAATTAAGAACAAGCACTTTGGATTTAGATCAGATTGACATTTTTACTGGTTTTGATATACCCTTTAGATTACAGTTATAAATTACTTTAATTTACGGAGTCTGATTGGGGATTTAGATTTTGGGATCTATCAAAGTAGGCAATTCACGACAAGAAGTTGCAGAGAACTTCAGGATTCTGTCCTGCAAATGAAAAGATTGACTGCAATTTGATTGTCTTCCCTTCCAATTTACATATTCTGCTATGAATTTCATTCCATTTTGGCCATTAATCGATAATCTCAATACGCTTTTTTGTTTGTGATCGGTTTGTTTCAATGATTTACAGTTTTGCCATTTTTGGGTTAATCGATACAATCGAAGAAATTATAGTTTGACCATTTAATTAACTAATTTTGTTCGAGGAGGAAGTTTTTCTGTGGTTTATTCGTCGCATTCATTGAAATGTGGTTGGTGTCGGGCCCAGTTATGGAACCACATACCTAATCTAATGCGATATTTTTTTAGTGATGTTCTCGAATATTTTGAAAAATACAATTATGGATGTTGATATATGACGACCCATGCGATTCAATTGCTTGTGTTTTGAACCGATCCGATTAGTTAAGTGGATCAGTTTTATCCGATGAATATTTACATGGTTATATAATTTTCATCTTATTTAATGTTCATCTAATTTTTTGATATTTTTGATACACAATTAAAGGGATTATACTATAAAAACTTGGGATATGCAATAAACTGCACAAACAACATAAACCGACCGCACCGCACCAAACCGCACCTCATAACGTGGCTTAAAACACCCGCGATGCGGTTTGAGGTTTCTATTTTTGTTAAACTGTATTATGCGATGCGTTTTACGATTATAAAACTGCGGTTTAAACCGCACCGCATTAATAAAATCAATTAATGATTACATATATTGACAGGATAACGTTTATTAATGCAATTCATTTCAAATGAATGGCATTATCTTTAGTTTTTGAAATGTAATCAATATTTCTTTAAACTTAATTAATCCGAACATTAATTTAATGTTGTCGCCATATTTTTTGGTCACAAATCCATTTTCAAAATGTAATCAATATTTCTTCAAAATAGAAATAAATTTAGTTAATCCGAAAAGTGACCATATTTTTTGGTCACAAATCCATTTTCATCTAACATTTAGTGACCATTATTTCATAGTTATTATGTTTTCTTAACTTATATATATTCATAAGTAGTTAATGACCAAATATCTATGACCACCAAATTTCTTAATGACCACTTAATGAGCCGTTAGTGACGACAAAGATATTATTGTCATTAAATTTAAAATAAATAATTAGTTGACTGTAAAACCACATGTAAACTGCATAAATCGTCTGCACCAAACTGCACCACATAATACGGTTTAGAACGTTCGTGGTACGGTTTGTGGTTTCTAAATAACTCAAACCGCATAAACGGTGCCGTTTACGATTTTGGATCTAAACCGTACCAAACCGCACTGCGCACACCCCTAATAAAAACTATTATATTTACATTCTCATTTTATTTTAACCATATTAATTCTTTTTGTTCTCTAAAATCCATTATTTTTTACCATGTGTTTTATTTTTCTGGGCTTCACCGTTCTTTAAAACCAAATTTCAACAATTTATATATGAAACAATTATATTTTTAGTTCGAATATTATTATCCGTGTTTTTATATTTTCACATATTCTATGTAAATAGCTTATATATACAGTTTATGTCATCATTTTTGTATTGGGTTAAATATTATTTAAAATTTTTATGCATTTATAATATTATTTATACACAAACATTAAATACACATACTATATATAAATATTTGTTTGTAATTTGTTGTTAAATAAATTGTTTTTTTATTATTTAAAATTTATTATTATCAACGCTGTAGCCTACCAAAAAGATAAATAAAAATAGAAGGTAGAATTATATTTAATTTCTCTTGTTAACGTGAACACACACATATAGTTGAATTAGGCCATCAAATGGTTAATTTGTATGAGTATATCAGTTAAAAGTTTAATTGAAAATATGATGATGACTTGTGCCCGGCGCCGTCAAAGTTCAAACGCCATGGTCAACACATATGTAGTTCTTTGTAATGTTTTATTCTCGCTAGTAAAAGGTACCAAGTTTTACGCAAGACAATTCCATCGTCGTCCATGACACTCGAATTAGAAGGATGAAACGAAGCCATCTCTTGCACATCTTCAATCATAATCAACATTCATGTCCAAAACCTTTTCTACTTTTCCTTCACAATTACCCTCAAACAATTGTAACAATCTAATCAGCCTCATCTTTACTAGGAAAACCCTAAAACGTCTACTCCAAATCCACACGCAATTAATAGTCTCAGGTTTCACACAAGACAATTTCACAAACACCATCTCATTGAATCTTTGCACTTAATTCAAAAAAATCAATCTTGCTCGATTATTTTTCAATGTTACACCAAACCCAAATGTTGTCTTATGGAATCCGATGATTAAAGCTCATATAAGATCAATGCAACATTTAGAAGCAATCATTATGTACAATAAAATGACAAACAACGAGTACAACCACACAAGTATACTTACACATTTGTATTAAAAGCTTGTACTCAGCATTTGGACATTGAAAATGGTGTTTCGCTTCACGAAGAGATGATTAAGAAAGGATTGGAATCTGATGTTTTCATTAGGACTGGACTTATTGATATGTACTGTAATGTGGTTTGCAAATGTATTCATGTATATGTAATTAAAAGAAAATTTCCAAACATTGTTATGAATGGATTGATCGATGTCTACTCCAAGTGCAAAAGAACTAGAGATATGTAACCTAATGCAAGAACCAGATGACGTTTCATGGGGTAGCATGATTTTCACACGACGGGTGTTACCACAAAGTCCTGGAATCATTCGATCAAATGAAAAACAACCATCTAAACATAAATATCGTATCAGTCTTTATCAGCAGCTGGCGAAACAAAAGATTTAGAAAAAGGAAAAATTATCCACGAATGTGTGAAATGAAGAACAACAAGTTTGATTTCAATATCCGTGTATCACAATGTACGTAAAGTTTGGTGAGTTAAAAAAGTGTCAAGATTTATTCAGTAACCTTTCTGGAAAAGATATGGTTGCTTGGTCAGAAGAAGCCCAGCCCTTTCTTTTTTCGCGATATGCAATTTAATTTTAAACCATAGTTGGTGTTCTTCTAGCTTGTGGAGAGTTAACATTCAAGAAACTAGATAATAGTCTCCATTAAACACATGTTGTAGACTAGTAGTATCAACAAAAAGAAAAAACACACAAAAAGACTGAACAGCCACACATATGGCTGAATGATTGATTGAATAACAAAGGTAAACCGGTAGCTATTCGAGATGCTACAATCTCCCAGGGGAAACAATTCTAATTTTTCTTTTCTGCTTGCAAAACAAGACTACTCTACTATAAATATAGGAGCTTAAAACACTATCCCCAAAGTACCCCTCTACTATTCTATTGGCTGACATCAGTAGTGGAGTCCCCAATAGCTGGCCGCTTCCCATGGTCTTGTGGTCTCCTTTTATTTCTCCTATGATAAGTGAATTGGAGTGGTGGGTTCATACCATTACCCTTCCCCAAAAGACTAATCTTGTCCTCAAGATCGAATTCTGGAAACACCCTGTGTATGTTCTCAAAGTCTTGCTACGTAGACTCGAAATCCGGACTGTCATTTTATTTGATGAGCACCTCTATTTTCTGCCCTTTCCCCTTGTCCCCTTGGCACATGCCTAACACAGTTTCTGGTATGAGTTGCATCTCAAAGGTCTCTGTTAATTGTGGGGGGAGTTCTGGCTGCACTGGGGGGAGACATGGAAAACAGGGGCGGACCTTAGTGGGGCATTTGGGGTCCCGGGCCACTGCTCAATTTCCGGCACGCAGTGTAAATTTTTTTTTTTTTTTTTTTTTTGGTTTTTTCTATTAGGTGCACCCGCTTGAAGTACGAGGGACACCCCTACTAAAAAAGTCTGCGTCCGCCACCGGTGGAAAACCGGGTGGATATTTGCCCTTTCCGGAAGTTCAAGTTTGTAAGCAACTTCACGAATCTTTTGTAGTATTAGGAATGGTCCATATAATAACGAGCAACTAGCTTCTAAAAGGATCTTTGTATTACTGATTTTTTTCGATAAAGCTGGAGCTTGAGATATGCCTTCTCTCCCACGATGAAGCTTAAATCCTTACGTTTCCTTTCTTCTTGAATCTTCATCGTCTATTATGATTAAAGAAGACGGCCACTAAAAATCATCCAGTATGCTATCCCGTTCTATGATTTGTTCCTAGAGAGTTGATACACATATGTGCTTCCGGGAGGTATACGATTGATCCTTGGTGGGTCTCTTCTGTAAACTGCCTTGAATGGGGAGAAGTGGGTTGCGGTGTGGTAGGATGTATTGTAATAGAATTCAGCCTATGAAATTCTCTCGATTTCCCCTGAACAAAACAGTGAAGATATAGTTCCAATGACTTGTTAACAATTTCCGTTTGTCCATCCGTTTGGGGATGGTACGTGATGCTCCGGGGAAAATTGGTTCCTTGCACACGGATTGGCTCCCTCCAAAAGGTGCTCATAAAAACCTTGTCCCTTTCAGAAACCATGGATATGGGAAACCCATGGAGCCGGACCACTTCCTTGATAAAAAACGGTTGCAACAGTCAAGGCGGTGAACGAGTGCCTTAGGGTCATGAAGTGGGCATACTTTTAGAGTCGGTCCACCACTACTAGTATTGTATTACAGTAGTCCTTCAATGAAATCCATGGAAACATCATCCTAGATTAGGGCCGGAATGGGCAGGGGTTGCAAGAGGCCTGTCGGGTGGGTGGTAAGAAACTTCTGTCGTTGACACACTTTGTACCCTTGCACATATTTGGATCAATTTCTGCATCCATACCCAATACCATTCCTCTGCTATTCTTTGATAAGTTCTGAAATCTCCCACGTGTCCCCAATGGCTGAATCATAGAGTTCTACTAACAACTTATGAATACACCTCGAAGATTTGGTATCACCAATCTCCCTTTATATCTCCCCTTCCCTCCTTCCACCGAGAAACCCACGTGCTTCTTCCCTAGCTGAGTGATATCCTCTTTAATCTGTTGCAAGAAGGCATCAGCTACTATCTCTTTTTCCAGTTCTTGTAATGGTATCCACCAGGAGGAACCAATAGCCTTTAGTTATGTGTTTGGGTGCAGATGTGAAAAGTCTCTGGAGAGAGCATCTGCCACGTGATTAGTAGCACCCGTTTTATATTGGATTTCGAAATCATAGCCCAAAATTTTGTATAACAACTTCTGGTACTCTGGTCCAACTTCTATTTGGCCCATAGGGAACTTAAGGCTCTTTTGGCCGATTCTATTGATGAAGTGTGTTCCCAATAAGTAGTGTCACCATTTCTTAACTAACAAAACTATTGCCATCAGTTCTTTCTCATAGATGGATTTTGATCATTTTCTCATCCCTAACATATGGTTATAGAACACAATTGGGTGCTCGTCTTGTGTAAGCATGGCTCCTAAGCCTGCCCCAGATGTGTCGGCTTCCACTACAAATGGCCTTTGGAAATCCGGCATTGCTAGGATCGGGGCTTGTTTTAGAGCTGACTTCAAGGTTTCAAAAGACTTCTCTACCTCTTCTAATCACCCACAACAATCCTTCTTTATCTGATCCATGAGAGGACAAACAATCTTGGCGTATCCTGCAACGCATTTCCTGTAGTATCCGAATAACCCTAGGAACCCCCTTAATTCCATCAATGTGGTTGGGTTGGGCCACTAATTACTTGCTTGCATTTTTCCTCATCCACTGCCACCCCCTTGGCCGATATGATGTGACCCAAGTACGCCACCTAAGTTTTGCCGAGTTCACATTTCCCTGGGTTTGCAAACAACTGATGCGTATGTAGGATATCAAGCACCTTTTCCAAATGTTGGATGTGTTGGGTTTCGTTTGGGCTGTAAACGAGGATATCATCAGAGAACACCAACACGAATTTCCTAAGATACGACCGAAATACATCATTCATCAAGGATTGGAAGGTTGTGGGGGGCATTGGTAAGCAAAAAGGGCATTTCTAAAATTTCATAGTGGCCTTCGTGAGTCCGAAAAGTTGTCTTGGGAATGTCTTCTTCCTGCATGCGTATTTGATGGTACCCGGACTTGAGATCCAACTTGGAGAAAATGATGGATCTATGAAGTTCATCCAAGAGCTCATCGATAACTGGGATCAGGAACTTTTCCTTAAAAATAACCTTGTTGAGGTTGTGGTAGTTCACGCAAAACCTCCAAGAACCATCTTTCTTTTTAACCAATAGCACGAGACTGGAAAAAGGGATTTGTGAAATTTGAATGATTTCATCCTGTAACATCTCACTCAACAACCTCTCAATTTTTGCCTTCTAAGTATGAGAGTAACGGTAGGGTCTAACTAAAATAGACTCTGTGCCTTCATTGAGCCTGATGGCGTGTTGTTGATCCCTTTTTGGAGGCAGTCCATGTTTCCATTCAAACACCCCGGAATACCTGCCAAGTAAGTCTATGAGATATTCTGAGGCTGGAGGTAAAGGTTAGGGCTCCATGTATTTCCCCACGTGATTAAGTTGGATCAAGTATCATCTACCTGTGGAGCACAATGTGCGGATCATGCTTTTCAGACATACTTAAGCTCGTTCCAAAGTCGGGTCTCCTCTTAGTGTCACTGTTTGACCATTCAACTGAAATTTTGTCACCTGTGTTTTCTAGTTGGTGGTTACAATCCCCAATTTTTCAAGCCATTGAATCCCCGGCCAATATGATATCAGCACTTCTGAGGGTCAAGGGCTGGAATTCTTCTATGATATTAACCTTTTGTAATCGCAAACATACTCCTTGACATTTCCCAGTACCCTTCGCGGATTCACCAGTTCCTAAAGACACCCCAAATCCCGGAGTGGGAGTGACCAGGAGTCTTAATTTGGAAACAATTTTGAGAGATAGAAAATTGTGAGTGGCTCCGGGGTCAATCATCACCACCACCTCTTGACCTTCCAACTCTCCCTTCAATTTCAACGCTTTTGGGTTGGAACTGTCCATGATAGAGCTAAGGGAGATTCCAGTTAAGGTGGTGGTTTCTATTATCTCCGATGGTGATTCATTCATAGGTTCTTCTTCCTATTCCCCTTCGTTGTCCTCTCCTTCTTGGCTTAGGAGTACGCTAAGCTCTTTGCGTCAACAACGATGCCCCACATTCTATTTTTCATCACGTTTGAAAGACAATCCTTTCTCTCTTTTCTGTTGCCATTCCTTATCTGATAAGCATGTGATTTCCCCTCCATTTTTAGTGGGTACACTGCCTCTTACGCCTCGTTCCCGAGTTTAACAAAAGAAAAGAAGAAAATAAAGAGAAGAGAAAAGAAAGTCACGAGAGAAAAGAAGAGAAAGAAAAGGAAAACAAATTTTTTTTTTTTGTGTTCCGAGTTGGAGAGAAGTGGAAGGAAAATGAATCATTTTGTTCTTTCTTTCCAAATCCTCCCAAATCGGAAGGAAAGTTAGGAGGGAAAGTGATCCTCCCATTTCTCTCCACTTCCCTCCTTTAATGAAACTGGGGAACACCAATTTCTTTTATTTTCTTCTCATTTCCACCATTTCCTTTCCTTTCTCTCGTTAAGTTCAACTCGGGAACCGGGTGTTAGGGTTTTGGATTTGAGGCACATGAGGGGTAAAGTAAGTGGTTTTGATGGGTGTAATAAAGGGTGTTCCCGAAATGGTTACGGATGTGTTCGTCTGATGGGTAATAGTGGAGGGTTGTGGTTTCTGTTTAAGTTGGGATTGAAGCTAGGCTTGCACAAAAAAACCGGTTCAGGATCCGAACCGGTCCACTATGAACCGAACCGATTCAAGAACCGAACCGCCGGTTCGCACTCGTTCGAGATTTTAGATATTGAAACCGGTTTAGAACCGGTTTAATAACCGTGAACCGGTTTGGAACCGGTAGTCAAACCGATCGAACCGGTTTAGAACCGATTGAACCGGTTTAGAACCGGTGTAACCGGTTTAGACAGGTTCGAGATTTTCTATGACGGAACCGGTTTGAACCGAACCGGTTTATGGTTGAACCAGTTTTACTATTCACGAATCTGAACCGAACCGGTTTACTGAACCGGTTCGGTTTGAAAAAAAACCGGTTTGTTCACCCCTAATTGAAGCTTCTGTTCGACCTTGATAGCCCACTAGCGTGTTCCACAGATATGGGGCTCAATAATTGGACCTCAGACCTAATTTCATCATTTAGCGAATTAGCCCAAAGTGATGTCATCGGGTATGTTGTTTAATGGGGCAAGTAGTTCAATAAAGGACCGTTGGTACTCTAAAACCGACTCAGATTGAGTTGGGGCGAACCATTGTTGGTGTAACATACCTACATTAACCGGACGAAACTGGCGTAATAGAAGAGATTTCATCTCCTTCCATCGTGTCACCAGCCGATGAGTGTGCTGCCACTGAAACCCAGAAGAGCGTCACCCTCGAGAGCTACCATCGCCGCCTCTAGCTTATCGGCTTCTGAGAGTTTGAAAATTTTGAAATAATGTTTTGCCTCAGAATCCACCCATCTGGATTTTCACCATCAAACAAGGGCATATCCAGCTTTCGAAATCTCCAGTTGGTCACACTGCCATAGTCGCCTCCCGGCGACCGGCCGCCTCCGTCGCTGCTACCACCAGAACCGCCAATCGCGACTGGTCTTGAGACTCCACTAGTTTCCTTCAGTGTTTCCATCATGGAAGAAACAGGTTCGTCAAAAATTTCTCCTTCTGCTGTCTTTTTCCCTTTGCTGAGAGCCTTCAGAACCTCTTCAAACTTCTGGTCGATCTTCATCTGCATTGAAGCGATGGAATCGGCCTGGTGTTGGATCTGGTACCCTTGAGTCTCCATTCGATCATTCAAATGCCCTAACTCTGCTTCCAAGGAATCAACCCTCTTGAGTTGAGCTCCTCCAACGTCTTTTCCTCCTCCTTTGTCTCCATCCATGGCCCCAGATGATTGCTCAAATACCATTTTGTTGTGGACTACTAGTATCAACAGAAATAAAAAAACACACAAAAAGATTGAACAGCCACAAATATGGCTGAATGATTGATTGAATAACAAAGGATAACAGGTAGCAATTCGAAATGCTAAAATCTCCTAGGGGAAACAATTATAATATTTCTTTTCTGCATGTTAAACAAGACTACTCTACTATAAATATAGGAGCATAAAACACTAATATCCAAAATACCCCTCTACTGTTGTATTGGTTGAAATCAGTAGCCGTACTTCCCATGGTCTTGTGGTCCCCTTTTATTTCTCCTGTGATAAATGAATTGGACGGATCTTATAAAAAAAACAAGCTCGCAAAATTAACCCTTAATAAGCTAAAACAAACACCCTATACGTATATGTGACGATTTTAATTCAACAATCACTATTTTTGAGAGAATGTTGCATAAAGAAGTAGTGACATAGATTAATCGATATGCACAGATTGGTGAGACAGATCTTGCAGATTATAGTCTTCATCAGATGTGCATCATGATAGTGTCTTTTTAGGTGATATAAATCTTGGAAGTAACATTCATGGGTTAGTTATGAAATATGAAGATTGTCATGTTAATAATGCTCTTATAAACATGTATGCCAAAAGTCAAAGCCTTGTATCTGCTGATTTGTTATTTAGTATGACAAAAATTAAAGACATGGGTATTTTCAAGAATCCATTTTTACATTGCCTCAAATGATGTCAGAAGGCTTTTAACTATGGGTCCTCCTATATACACGAACTAGGTGTGAGACCCATGTATTATATGAGTTTAATTAAAAAAAATTAAATATGAAATTTTAACAATTTGAAAAGTTTGAATTTATAAGAAAAATGAGAAAAATTTTAAATTATTAAAATTAATGAGGCTTTAATGTATTGAATACATTACATATATAAACCGTTTATAATAAATACCTTACATATATATTACCTTACATATTAAATATGGAATTTTAATTTAATAAAATGAAAAATACAATAAAATGACAAGTGGAAAATAGAAAATTTAAAAATTCTAGAAAATGTCATGTGTCCAAATGAATGAGAAGATGACATGTGACAAAAAACCTTCATTTATTATAGTAGATTATTCGTGTATTGACATTGAATTGCGTGTCTACGTAAATCAATCAATCACTGCTTTTAATCCTTATTTGTCAAACTTTCATTTAGGCTAAAGGGAGTGGTAACACTCCTAGCACCATGTCACATCCTATTTTTTTGCTGCCATGTCATTTTTTGGCTTGGCACCTCATTAGCATCTTTTCCTTAGCATTTTATAGGGAGTGGTAACACCCCTAACACTGTTTGATTTTTTTTTTTATCAAAATTAAATATATTATATTTTTTAATACACATATATTTCATATTAAATAGATTATATTTTTATACAATACAAAAAATTATTATTAAATAAAAAGGTTTTTATTTTTGGATAAAATATACTAAGTTGCTGAAACTTTAGGGGCAAAATGTGTAACTTGTTCATCTTCCTCTTAATTGTCTGTTAAAAGAATCGAAGCTTCTTCCCCAATTTTTCTGGTTAAAAGAACGCTAACAAAAAATTGAAACTTCGACTATGGTCCATTGAAGGCTCAAGATCACCCACGGGTTCATCATCTTTCTTATTATTTTGATCTAGGATTATTCGATTTTTGTACAAAAGCCCAACCACCAATCACAGCTTTCTCTTGCTTTCTCTCTCATCTCGCTAAGGGTGTAGCGACCCATCTTTGGCGACTCCTGTAGCGAAGGTGAGGGTGTGGTGTAGCGAGTCCATGGCGAGCTGGAGGCGAGCGTTCATAGCGAACCACTCCCTCCAGCCTTAGAGTCCTCTAATATACATCAAATTTATAATTTACCCTTTCTGCTTTGTAAAGTTTTATATATTTCTACTTATTATTATTATTATTATTATTATTATTATTATTATTATGTTAACGTTTGGTATTTTATCATTATGAAGTTAAATCCATTTTCAATAAAGTTTATTTTTTACTATGATATATTTTATCATTTTAAATTTATAATTTTAACGACCGATTTATTTAAAAATTTTTAACTCGTTTCTAGCAACATTTATTTAACCATCCTTAGATCAACTGTCAAGCATTATATATATATATATATATATATATATATATATATATATATATATATATATATATATATATATATATAATAGTAGAAAACATTTATATTTATAGATAAAATTATAAGTTATATAAAACAAATTAACGTCTTATGTCACGTCTTAAAATATGTCATAGCTCGCTCCCATGTTATTTAGAACTTTTTCTAGAATACATTAATATTTAAATATTTTTGTTTCACATTTATTTTCGGTATATTTAATTATAGAAATAAATATTTGAAAAATCAAATATAGGTAAAACAATTATTGAAATGTCCCATCTTCGTGACATATACCCCCAGTTTACGAATGACAACTGACATATATCATTTCAATTATCGTCTTAATATGTCTGTATCATTCTATCGATAAAATGTAATATTACAATTTTATACCTCCAGTTTACGTTGTAGTTTTAGAAAAGACCATAGATTTTATCAATTTAAATCTTAAACCCTTAAAACTTTATTAATTTTGAAAACTAACAAATAGAAACATATTATTTAATCATAAAAGTTGTATAATTAAAATGATCTCATGAATACATTTACAAGAAGAGTAATAATGAATATTATTAAATATTTTTAAATATTAATAGAAAAAAATAAATTGTTAAATAAGAAATATAAACTATGAAACATTAACAAAAATAGGAAGGGATAAAAATGAAAATTTGGTTTCAATTTCTTTCTATATATAGAGGTTTGATATTTCTTATATGTTAAGAAATATAAACTATGAAACATTAACAAAAATACAAGTAATGTATAATTCAGATCCACTTATGAATGAAATTCCATATGAATTTCATCCATATGTCACTAACATACAAAACGTGAGGGGAGATGGAAATTGTGGATTTCGTGCAATAGCTGCGTGTCTCGGTTATAGTGAAGATAATTGGCGTCAAATCCGCTTAGATTTACAGAATGAGTTGTTAGCACACCCAGCTGAGTACGCACAGATTTTTTATTATGATTTAAACACCATACATCACTCATTGAATTTCAATGGATTACGTTTCACACCAAAAGATCGTTGGTTGATTATGTCGGTCACTAGCTTTCTCATTGCTAACAAGTATAGTGTAATAGTTATTTTTCTAAGCAAAGATAGTCTATCAACATGTTTTCCACTATGGCTTGGTCCCCAAGACATCTCAACTCATAGAGTTGTTGTTATTGCTCTTGTTAGAGGTGATCATTATGTGAATGTTGATTTACATGGAGCATATCCAATGTCTACTATTTTGCCACTTTGGCGTCACAACAGATCATCACGGTCTGCTGGATGGGAAACTGTTTATGTTGCTCGCCTGAACTCCTACATTTCTCCATTTGCAACACACAATAATTGTAACAATTCTACAGTTATAATATCTGATTATTAATAAAATCAAGTTTATGTTTTGTTGTTTATAATTATTAAGATCTCTATAAATAAAAAAATTGTTCTTTTTTTTTTAATTTAGCAAACTTATATATGTACGATTCTGATGTTTCTAAAATAAAAAAAAGATTAAATATTTTGAAGTACAATCTAGAAACTAATCACAGACTAATTATTTAATTAATTATTTATTTAATTATTTGCTAATTTCTAATTGGTGCATTGAGAAACACAATAGTTGTTAGAAATATTTGAATTGATCTCTCTCTCTCTCTCTCTCTCTCTCTCTATATATATATATATATATATATATATATATATATATAATATATATATATATATATATATATTAAGTTGTAAAGTATAAGGTTTACTCTGAAAATCAGTATAAGTACAAGGGCATTTACTGTAAATTTGAAAAGTAACATCTTTATTAATTTAGAATAACTGTCGTTTATGCCCAAGTACACTTTAATATATTTTTTAATATATTAAAAATGATCAATTTTTAACTGACATATATCAACTCAATCAATTGTTCGTGCATTTGGATTCCGGTTCGTGTATTTAGAATCACCCTTAATTAAGCCTAGTGTAGTCACAGTTGTAAGCATACTTCATGTAGTATCCAGTTTGGCAGCCATTGACGAAGGTCCATCCTTGGATGCTGACATCATCCGTATAGGGTTTCTTTCCCATACAGCTATCATGAACAGTCTTATTGACTTGTATTCAAAATGTGGATGTGTTAATGTCGAAATTGACCATGTTCCTTTTCTCAGTGGGTTGTTGAGATGTGGGTCTTTTTTTCGATGAAGGAAAATCGTGGTATTGAACCGAAGTTGGAGTATTATGCTTGTATGGTGGATTTGTTGGGATGAGACTTTGGGGTTAATTAGGTTGATGCTTATAGAAGCTGATGTTGGAGTTTGGGGGGGGGGGTTTGGGTGCATGTCAGATTTCGATTTTTTCCTGACAAGTTGTTCAATTTTATTCGATTTATAGATTTTGCTATTGGTGTTGTGGAAGTCGCATCAGGAGCCATGAACGTTGATGATCCAAACTTCGTTAATTCCTTGCCTGAAGCTTTGTGTGGCTTGTAAAATGGAGAAAGGCGATAGTCTGGGCATGGATAGTTTAGGAATATTGAGGATTGCAAGGTCAACGAGTTACCTGAATTCATTGGTGGGTCCGATCCATAAGTATATTTGGATTGGGAGAGAAAGATCGATAGAAACTTTGAGTTGAAGGAGTTGGATGATGATAAGTGTTGTAAGTGTGTGGTCTTGAAGTTGAGTGGAGGAGCTTTAATGTGGTATGAAGGTTTGAAGACTAGGAGAGATCGTGAGGGATAAGAAAAGATTCCTTCTTGGGAATCCTTGAAATGGAAACTTCGGAAGAGATATGTACCAGTTCATCATAGGACGACCACATATAGGAGGTTGGTGGATT